ATTTTGTGTTTGTAATGTTAAGATCTTGAAATTCACCAAATGAATGGTCTGGATTCGTTGTTGGAGGGGACTCATTTTGACCATAACTAGTGTTCAAATTGAATTTCTTTTTTTTGGGATTGATTGTTGAGATGAAGAGAGTGTGTGTGCAAAATTTTGGGGTCGTACAAATACCACAAACATGGTTTTCTAGAAATGTGGTTGCATTATACTATGATACAACCGTTGCATAAGATCACTTCTTATATATATATATATATATATATATATATATATATATGTATATATCATGTATTGTGTCTTGTTAATTGAAAATATTTATCTTGTCATGTACATTCATACCTATTTTGACCAAGCTTCTATAATCCTTTACTTGGGCCATGCATTAATTTGTTGTTGTGTGTCCATTTGCAGGAAGGCTGCAAGGGCCTTTTATACATGGTCCTTCATGCACGCGTTGTCTTAGATTTATGTGAACAACATGAACATGAAATTACTTTTGAGCAGGTTGAAGGGGACTTCGACTCTTTTAAGGGCAAATGGCTTTTAGAGAAGCTTGGAAATCAACATACGCTACTCAAGTATATTGTTGAGTCAAAAATGCACAAAAATTCTTTTCTGTCAGAGGCTATTGTGGAAGAGGTATAAGGATCCGAAAATCACTTACCTCGCTCTTCATGGCAATACTTAGTAATTCGTCTGCATTAAAATTTCATACTTGCACATTCATTTCAATAGCTGACCCCCAATAGTTGAGATAAGGCTTGGATAATGTTGATGACGACGACGTGCACATTCATTTGAATATGTTTATCACCATGATGTGTATAGTTTCTGACAATGTTGCCCAAATTCAAGTTCAATGACATGTTTCTTAAACCAAATTTTTGTTTAACCTGTTGTCACTGAAGACATTTACCTTGTATTTTTCTTCTCGTAGGGGCCATTTGGGTACCTGAAATCTATTATAGGGAACATATTACAAGGAAATATGAGATTTACCATGTTTGGGTACACTTCAATCGTAAGAAAATGGAAATAAATTACACAAGATTTCCCCAAAATACAGAAATCTATTACGCACAGAATGGCTATGAAATCCATTACGCGCTTAACGGGTAATCTAACTACGCGCGTCTCTTATCCAGAAAATAATCCTCTATCTCCTGCGATTCTCCCTCTGTTCTGTGCCCATCCATTCTCCCTCTCTCCTGCGCGCATCCATTACTACTTTCTCTCTCTAAACTTCTCTCTCTCTTGTGCCCATCCATTATCGACATTCTCTCTCTCTCCAGTGCCCATCTATTTCTATTTTCTCTCTCTAAACTCCACTTATAAGTATTTGCAGATATTGCGAACATCCATTTCTACACTCATGCGCACATCCATTTTTGCATCCCTCTATTCCCAATTTGGGTTGTAGTCCTCATCTGAAGCCATCAGTTCTTATATAAAAACAAAAATAATAAAAATAATAATTGGTAATCAATAAGAAATTACACAACACAATCATAATAAAAAATTTCACACAACATAATCATCATAAGAGATTAGTAAATGCTCAATTGAAATAAGATACCTCTTTAGTCTCCTCCAATGCCTCAAAATTTTCTACTGCAATTACCCAACCTTCTAGTTTACTAATCAACTTCTTCCCATTTTTTAACTATCATAAAGATTTTGAATTTGGTATCATAAATTTATTGTTTATTTGAAATTATATAAAGAAACATTTGAAAGACTTCTATAAAAAATAAATAAAAATAAGGCTTATCACAATAAAATCATGTTATTCCAAGCATATTATTCCAATGACTTATCATGTTGAAACCAAAGTCTAATCATGTTAGAAGACATGTGATTTAATGTCAGTGTTTCAAAAAGCGCTGGGCGGCACCTAGGCGGTCGGGGGATCCATGCTGCCTAGCTCTTAGGCAGGCGCCCAAAACCTGGGCAGTCCAGTAGAATTTTTTTTTTTTTTTCTTTTCTCTTTCTAAAATAGGCTCTAATGGTTTTATGTTTCAAATGAACCTAAAACCCACAATTTTGCACCTTTAGTATTAAAAAAAAATGACTAAAAAATACCCTCAACGAGGGGCATTTTCACCCATGGGCGGGCCGTAGGCCCTGGGCGGCCGCCTAGGCGGGTTCCCAGGTGCCTAGGCGGGTGCTCAAGGATATTCGCTTTTTTTTGGGCGCCTAGCCTGGGTGATGCACCCAGGACCCCAGAACTGCCTAGGCGGCCGCCCAAGCGCTGAGTGGTCTACTTTTTGAAACACTGTTTCATGTAAGTGCCAAAGGCATGCAAAATAAGTAAGAAATGGTGTCATGATGACTTTAGAATGGTACAAGTTATTAGTAGAAAATCTTTTTGGAATGGTGATGATGCTATTGTTAGAAAATATTTTTGGAATGCTGTGACGATGACTTCAATTCCTCATTTCAGTGGAATTTTGTGACAAAAAAGAAAGAAATGATAGTTTATAAGCAAGTGCTGGTAAAATGTTGGTAATGCATTTCCCATGTTTCTTCGTGACATAGCCAAACAATAGCAATGTATTTCTCAGGTTTCATCTAAATACTACCCAAACAGTAACAATACATTTGCAGGTAATGTATTATGCAGTAATGTATTACGCCAGTAATATATTTCACAGACAATATATTTTCAGGTATCCAAACGACCCTGTAGTTTTACTATCTTTCAGATGAGTGTCATGGTCCGAGTTCTTGGATTTTAGCGTGTACTTTGCTGTCTTTTACATTGTATTCTATAATTTTTTGTTGCAACGCAGATTAGAAATTGTAGCGAACTGTAGAAAGAGAAGATGTTGTTGTAGACTTTCATTTGAAAAACAATGCAAACTTTCCGAAATGGGTGTTCCACTTACATTGGGAGTGTTTCATCCCAGGTAATATATGAAGACCTTCCATCAAACTTATGTGCTATCCGTGATCGTGTTGAAGTAGAGGAGATGGCTAAATCTATGCGCTTGGAATCAGTTGTGGAACAACTTAAAGTTGGAAGCAGCCCCACTCCATCTAGCAGTCCTTTGCTTGTGAAAGAGAGCAGAGGAGAGGGTAAGGCATCAAGCCGTGATGCTCAGACTCGATCAACACCAAGACCCAAAGTTCCTGGGCTTCAAAGAGACATAGAGATTTTAAAATCTGAACTTCTGAAATTCATTTCAGAATATGGCCAGGACGGTTATATGCCAATGAGGAAACAACTCCGATTGCATGGAAGGGTGGATCTGGAGAAGGCAGTCACACGGATGGGTGGTTTCCGAAAAATAGCTTCTCTTATGAATCTCTCTCTTGCCTACAAACACCGCAAACCAAAGGGCTATTGGGACAACCTGGACAACTTGAAAGAAGAGGTAAATTGGAAATTTTTCTCTCATGTTTAGCATAAGATTCTTTCTCTTTTATAAATCGGAGCTTTTGAGAGCTCTTCTTTATTTTAGCCAAGAAATTTAATAGCAAACTGATTCATTGTGTTTATAACATGAAATACCTTGGGTGACGCTGTTTCCTTATGTATCTCCCAGACTGCCTTCACGACCTATATTCTATTTTTGCAAAATTTAAATATCTTGTAATTATAACTTCCATTTTATTTTATAAATTTTAAGTCATGGGTCTCATGGGAGCACTTAACAAATTGGCACAGATGTAGTAGCTTGGAGCTAGGGTTTAGCGAAGAAGACGATAGGGAAGATCCAAAGTTAAAGAAAGATTCAAAAACTAGAAATAATAGAAGGAGCACTTGCTGCTCTAGGGTTGATACAAGTCCATAACAAGATCATCCATTATGCTTGAGTACATCTCTTATATAATAAAACCCTAAACAAGCCTTAATCCTGATCATCCATTTAATCCAATCATGGTTATTTATTATAAAGGTATTTAAATGAATAAAAAAGATATAAAAGACTCTAGAAATTACTACGTATGCCCCTAAATAAATAAAATGACTTGAGATAAATAAAAGGATAGAAGGATAGACTATGAATAATTTTCCCTTTTGCGGTTCCTCTTGTAAACTTTAAGCTTGTCTCTCTTATCAAGATACTCAAGAGCAGTATTCTGGCTTGCATCAGTCCACCTTCCTTGAAAGAATTTTCCCTCGAATACGACAGCTCATCGTTTGAGGTATCACCACGATATGGAATGGGATGCTTGATAATAATAACATCAGAAGTGCGAAGGTGACTAAGAAGCTTTAATTTGTAGCCATTGTTATTAATCTTCTTCAAAATTTTAAGCGGTTCTAGCTTGATGAGACTTGAGATCAAGGTGTGTCATTTTATTGCATTTCCCATGGACATTAGATTAACCACGTTTTGAGCCCATTGGGAATTGCTATAATTGTAGTTCATAAACACAACACACTTGGTCCTGAACACATTAGAGAATACCCTACCATAAAGTTTGAAGTGGCTCAAAATTAAAGATGCATTATCCCCGTGATTTTCTTCAATTCGTCGCTTTGTGATTAGATATAGAGGTTCTCCACTCAAAATGAAATAATGGTTGAAGCTGAACTCCAACATCAGGAGTCACATAAGTGCCCATTTGATGACCACCTTCTATATTGAACTAACTTACAAAACCCTCATAGGAAAATGTCACTAAACCCTTGGGGTGTACCTCACATGATACTCCATATTCAAGTAAAACTCCAAGAAGAACATTGTCATTCCATCAACCCCATTCTCCTTGCTACTTTCTCTGGGAACTGAGAAACTAGTTATCTCCAATATTTTGGTAACGGCTCCTTGACATCCATCCTGCTTTTCATCAAGAACAAGTGCATTCACATAATCGTCTCCAATGGTAGGATCTTCTTCTTGATACTCTTTATGGATTGGATCACCATTAAAGCCATGAGCAACCCACTTCTTTCTCAACACCCAAATCTTCATCCAGGTACTTGTCAAAGACTGGTGGTGAGTCCCAATCCACAACGTGCTGAATTTGACAACCATTTGATGAGAACAAAGTTTCTCCATGCTTGTCCTTGGATAGACTTCCATAACACTCCGGGATCTCAACCTTGAGATTGTTTTCCGCCTCCTACTATCCTTATCCGTATGATCTACTACCTCTCCTTAGAGCTTGATCATGGAAGGGATTTATGGATTTGTCATTTGCCTCGATCTCATACTCCTGAAATAGGTCCTCCATCTGTGCAGAGCTAGGGTGTCAACCAATCTCTTCAAATTTGCAATCCCTTCTTGTGAACTAGTATCAAAAGATTCTACAGTTGCCGCTTTTCCTCTTGTTCCTTTACGTGGAGGCATGGTTGTTGATCTACGGCACAAAAATCGATGCAGTAGTACTGTACTACAATAACTTGCTTCAGTATTGTACTATAGTACTGTCTGTACTGATTGTTGGGCTTTGATACCAACCTAGCGCGGACATAGTAGTTTGGGGCTAAGGTTTAGCAAAGAAGAAGGTAGGGAAGAGCAGAGCTTAGAGAAAGATTCAAATCAAAGATAAAAGGAGCACTTGCTACTCTAGGGTTTGAATAAAAGTCCATAACAAGATTATCCATTATGCTTAAGTACATCCCTTGTATAAGAAATACTAAACAAAGTGCACTTTCGATAGCTTGAGTTGATGATCCAGGAAAATGGAGAGATTGAAAAAGATGTCACACAGAATTAGAGCTGGCTGGGTGAAGTGGAGATGTGCCACCAGAGTTTTATGTGATCCTTGCATACCAATGAAGCTGAAGGGTAAGTTCTATAGGACAACTGTGAAACCAACTTTGCTTTATGGAATAAAATGTTGGGTGGTCAAGAAACAACATACCAATAGGATGAGTATAGCTGAGATGAGGATGTTGAGATGGTTGAGTGGCAAGACAAGAAGGGATAGAATTCAAAATGAAGATATTCAGGAGAACTTAGGTGCTGCACCAATGGGCGATAAGATGAGAGAAAGTAGACTTAGGTGGGCTGGCCATGTGCAACGTAAACCCAATACAACACTTGTTAGGAGGTGTGAGTTAGTTCAAGTGGAAGACTAAAATAGGGTAAGGGGCAGGCCGAAAAGGACATGGTTGGAAGTAATGAGAAAAGATATTGGAGCTTATGACCTTATTGAGGTCCTTGATAGAGCAGAATGGTGGACCAAAATTCGTGTAGTCGACCCTCAATAGTTGGGAAAAAGCTTTTGATGATGATGACATCCTTGTATAAAAAAACCCTAAACAATACGTATTCCTGGCCTTCCATTTAATCTAATCGTGGCCATTTATTATAAAAGACTTTAAGTGAATAAAAAGACATAAAAGAGTCTAGAAATTACTACTCTGTCCCCAAGTAAATAAAATGACTCAAGAAATAAATAAAAGACATAAAGGATAGACTTAATGATTAATTTGCCTTTCTACGGTTCCTCTTGTAAACTTTAATATTGTCTCTCTTAACTAGATACTCGAGAGCAGTATTCTCGGCTACAATAAACAAAATGGTTTCTTGGCATTTTATGGGTGGATTAGTTGTTTACCAAATATTTTCTATTATCTGATTGTAATGTAGGTCGTAAATATAAATAAAGAATGACACAATAAACAAAAGTAAAATATTGAATGACAATGCTTGGTCAAATCTATTCTTAAATCACACAAGGGACTGAAGGCATTGTTTTGAATTCAATAAACCAAACCTGTCAGTGATGGGCCCAAGCTGAGTATTCTTTGGTGAATCACTTTGGTGTTTCTTTTTTTGTTTTATTATAGTTTTGAGTGCTTGATGTGTTAATCTCTTTCTATAGAGAATTCCTTAGACCATCCAAGAATTCCTTAGACCATCCAAGTCTCTAGATAATTGTCTACGGGATTGAGTTCCACAAGCATAATTGTTGCCTTAACTATTGTGAGGGCAGCTTGGTGGTATCAACAAGCTATGACCTAGCTATAAACCCGATGTTAGGTGCTAATTGTCGTTACACTTTCGATGACTCATTAAATGGGCATCAGCAAATGCGATCCTTTATATTTGTTGAAACAACAGTTAGAAAGAAATAAAATTTACAGACCCATAATGTTAAAAGCATTTTCAGAAGGATTGCTTGCAATGCGATCACCATAGGGTTTTCTCTCTAATACTAATGGGTTCTTTCTCTTGGTTTTCATCCCATTATTGTGCAAATTAGATGCAAGTATCTGGCATTGCTTGAAGCACATGGGATTTTGCATATAAACTAGTGTGGCTTTAGAAAACCACTATTGGAGTTCCTTAAAAAGAACATACTAGGCCACATTTTCTAAAATTGGTATTAGAGCAATATCTCCACTTTATATATGCAACTTGCCATCTTGTCAGAGAATTTTTTTAGTAAAAGCAGGGAAGATACAATTGTTTGGAGACAATTTTGTTGTTTCGTCCCGTTTCTCCCCACTTGAGGAGGGGCTCTCCATCAAGTGTGTGTTGGAAATAAAAAGAGTAAGCTTTATTGTATTTGATGGACAAAACTGTCATTTATCTTTTGTTTAGTCTTTATTTGTCTTATATCTCTAAATAAGAGTTATATTGTCCAGAAGTTGTAGTTAGGGTTATTATTTAATGTTATAAGAGGGGTAGAGGTCACAGTGATCCCAAAGCTACTCACTCTCCCTCTCTAGCTCTCTATCTGTCATACGTCTCTCTCTCCTTTCTTTTTCATCATCTTTATTTTCTTTTCTCTCTATAGATCCTACCAAACTGTTTTTTTCTCTAGTTCAATTTGAACTAGGTAGCAGAGCCTGACGATCAGTAAGGATGGTACAATAGCACGTTACTATAGTACGGTACTGTAGTACATTACTGTAGCAGGGGTCGATCTTCAAAACGGTGCATAGGAACTTGTTTAGCGCTGACATCATCCTTTGGGTTAGATGACATCATTATGCCCTAAAATTCAATTTTTGTTTTTAGTAGTATCTGTGCCAATAGAGGTGATTTTTTTAAAATTATTTTTTTATGATTTTGGATGCCAATTAAATATTTATTCAAAACCTACTAGTTGGATGGATTGAGGTTTGTATGTCTCAATCAAAGAAGTATTGTTAGTGCTTGTTTTGATTTTTTTCTGGAAAAAAAGGGGTGTAATTAGATATGAGAGTGTAACCAGATCTGTAAAACCTTTTATTTGAAGAGATCAAACGATGTAACTTGATCTCAATTATTGAGTAATATCTGAGATGTAACTAGATCTTAACTACAGTAGAGAATGTATCTATAAGCATCAAATATGGAGTCATTTGGACCCCAAATCACCACAGTTAGATTTGATGGAATAACTATTTAGAATGGGCAAGGTTGATTAGACTATTTTTGGGTAAAAAGAAAAAATTGGGATACATTGACCGCAGTGTGGAAAAACC